ACTTGATGGCACATAATCAATCAATCAATCTAAGGAATTTAGATGTGCAACATTAACAGGGTTTCTTAAATATTAACCAATCTTTTAAAGTTTTTGGATGGCTCTTCAAAGATTCTTTTCATACCATTTTAGCTACCTCCAAGTTGCTATTTCTCAAGTCTTGGGAAAATCTACATTCTAACCCCACCGCAGTCTTGATGTTCACATGGTGATCCTAGGTCAGCTGTTGTCTCTCACTTAACTTCGCATGTTCATCAAAAACAGGGCAACCATGTTTGCCGCCCCGAGAGTCTTGAAGGAACAGCAAGATGGTGATTGGTAAATAAGATGACAAGTCATTAAAAAGAAGGAAAAACCCCCCACAGCTCTATTAATCTTATTTATTTATTTCCCTGGGGTTAGAGGGCAGATCCATCTAATGTGCTACCAAGAATTCTTCTAAATTGAGAAGATACTGAAGGGGAAGACCCAAAACCCTGTGGCTGTTGAGATGAAGCCAACACCATTCAGAATTTCCCACAAACCACTAATAGATTATTTACTTATTCTAATTGCCATGCCAAGATAAAGCAAATGTATGAAAAAGAATTGCCTTTGGAGCTCTTGTGTTAGGTTTTTTGGCCTAATATAAGAGTCATGCTTTTGAGATGGGTGGCAATATAAATTTGCTACATAAATAAATAATTATACCTTCCAGCCTTGAAGACAAACCCTTCCAACTTTTAGCTGTTATTAGAGCAAAGGAGTCCACCCTCAGGAGGAATAAAAGCTACTAATGAGTAAGCATTTGGGGCTATGGACCTGCTTTGCAGAACAACGTATTCAGGGTACCCATCATTCAGCCACAGCCTCACTTATTTAACTCAGGAGGACTTATTTTTCCTCAAACCTTTTTTTTAACTTTGCAAAAAGGAAAGAATGTTCTCTAGCCCCTCATCCAACCTGTTTTAAAATAAACATTTCATCAATCTCTTGGAGGGGATAAAATGGGGGAAGATAAGCCTACAGGACAGCTTTACCCAACCAATGCCAGCCCAACCTATTAGAACATACACAAGACATAGAACATGGGACACAGAACATGGCTACTTAGACTCCCATGTTCCTGAGAGATTTGGGAGGCTGTAGCTAGAAGGTGCTGCTTTGAAACAGCCCCTGAAGGAGATCAGGTAGCCCTCTCCTTGGTCTTTTTTTAGGAAGGAGACTGAAGTATCTTGGGGGATATTCCCTTAGGCATTTATATCTTTCTTTTTAATCCTTCTTTTATTGTCACTTAGTTTTAATCAGGCTGGGGATGTTTTAAGCTGTCTTATACTATATGTAAGCTGCCGACAATCATTGGATTGCAGTGGGGCAGAAGTCTGAAGAATAATAAATAAACGAAACAGTGGATTCTCTAAAGTCCCTATCCCTAATGAAGAAGAAGGATCTGCTCCATGCATGTAATGATCTTTTGCTAAGAGAAGTTATAATCCTATTTCCCCTCGCCTAACGACAACCCCAATTGGGACTATATGAATTTATTATTTCGCATGTATGATACCATAATAATAATAAAAGCTATTATATTATTATACAAACACTATATTCATATCTAAAATATCAAGAAAGAAAGCATCATAAAATAGTAAATAAAACCAGCAAAAGCCACTCAAAAGGCCAAGTTAAAAGATAAGCTTTGAGACCTTGCTTTAAGAAAAAAAGAGGCACTTACTTCTGAACAGACGTATACACTGGATTGCCAACAGCCTTGCCCTCCCTTCCAAAATAGAGTGAAAGTGGAGAAAACAGCGACAGGCTGCCTTTGAAAAGTGTTTTGAAGCTTCTCCTAAAGTCGGATGCTGCAGAACTGCTACAGCCAACAGTACAGTATTGTTATCATCATTATACATTTATTATAGCCGGCTAAATTTCTCTTTTCTTAGGTTATTCATCCTCTCTTGGTGGGAAGGCTTCCTGATTAACCAAGCTTCTCAATCTGAAAATGATCAGACTGGAGGGGTTCCTTTATGTGTCCCCTTGGGAGTTAACTGAAGAAGAGGAAGCCAAGTTATATGGAGATAATTCTCCAATATAAAATACAATATAAGACAGGAGACTTACACATACTCGCCACCGTGTAACTGAAGCAACCCACGCAGGTAAGTATATCTTCTTCCAGTTAAAACAATATATACATATACAGTACACCCACACCCACGCACTCATATCCCAACAATCTGAAAGAGACTTGTGAAAAATTTTAAAAAGTGCCCCAAAGTCCAACACTTCCAAAAAAAAGAGAGCCCAGCTTTACCTAAACTTCTTACCGTGTTCTGTTTATTGACACATGTAGCACCTTCATTGAATTCATTTGTATTGGCTGCCCATGTGTTTCCAGACTAATTTCAAAATAGTTGTTACTGTCACAACACCGAAAAGATCTTTCCTTTCTCATCAATTATTACCCAGATTCGAATGTGTTGAGCTTAGGGCTTTCTTTGCAAGCCTGAACTTTAGCAGAAGCATGGTTCTCTGGGAACCAAGGTCCACGGGAACTCAAAATAAAGTCTCTGCCATTGCCACACCTAGACTGTGGAATTCTGCACCCGGGGAGAACCATCTGGCACCCTAAGGATTCATTTGCTGCTGAGTAAAGTCATCTCTCTTTGTCTGGCTCATTCCTCCAAGATTTTAAATATCACCATTCATCTCTTGATCATTGGCTTGTTTGTTTAGATGTTATTATCCTGAGCTTTTATACCAAATTTTAAACCACCCGAGGCATGTTTGCTTACATTTACTAAAGCTTGGTGGCCTAATTTGCTAAGATCATTCCTGAGATATCGCATCTCTTGGGCTGGAAGCTTGCATTCAGAAGGAACTCTTTCAACAGTGCAAGATCAGCAGTGAAATTCCTAAGGAGACATAGCGAATGCCAACTTTGCTATCTTTCAGGTGTGCCTGGCCAAAAAGAACCACCACTGAAAACAAACAAACAAGACAAAAAACCCAAAAATCCACCATCACCACCCAGATGTTTTTAATTATCTGTACTCTTTTCAAAGTATTTTAAACTCCCTACCAGTTCCAGCTTCTGATCTAGTGATTCTGGTAACTTTAATGGCTTACATCTTTATGTCGTTATGTCTTTATGTCATTATGCCAGGTCAAAATGAATAATCTGTTTCTCCAGATAATGTGCCAAAATATGGACTCCCTTTTCCTTGAAAGTTTTCTTCCCCTGTGAAAGAGGATTCTGTATTTACTCTCCTATTCTTGGGGTGCCTTAGAGCTTGCTTAGTATCCCTTTGGGTTATGTTTCTAAGTTTACTCTTTTGCTGGGAAAGAACACTGTGTTTGTGTGTGTGTGTGTGAAGCTTGTGTCTCTGTGCAAGGGTATATACATATAATTTCAAGAGATATATTTCTCCATCCCTCTGCATCCTCCTTGCTGATCTGCTTCTTGATCTGGAAAGATCCCTTGGAGATGGTCCTTCCAGGTGTCTTCTCATGAGTGTCAATGGGAGAGTGAAAAACCAGGAAGGCTACTGAAGATAATCTTGTGCAATGAATGATAGGACATTCAGCCCTTGGCCACCTCATGTATATAATAAATGCTGAGCTCCATTTTTTTTTTACCATGAAAACGGCATCGAAATTTCTTTTGGGATTGCATGGGGCAGAGAGCATTAGAGAAGGCCACCAAAGAAATTTTGGGCACAGCAAATATAAGGGCTACCACCCTGCAGACAATTAACATGCTAGGCAAAAGGATCAAGTCTAGGCATCTCCCCGAGATCTGATTTTCTGTTTGCAGGGAATATTTGTGTCAAGGAACACAGCTCCCCAAATGGGCTGCCATCTGGAGCAAGACAGTCTAGACAGGGTTTGCCACCTGAGGGAGAAAGAGGCTTGGGCCTTCCAGAACAAACATAGCTGTCGATGCAACCTCAGCATCTCTGGATCGCAATTCATGTTTGGGATGTCCTGCTCAAAATTCATGTCTGTGAAATTAAGCACATGATATGGTTGAAACCTAGAGATGGTGCTCTGAAGGCAATGACTAGAGGGCTGGGTTTAGTCTAGAAGACATAGGTTCAGCTTCACGGAAGTTATTAACGCTGTGGGTGGCCATGGGGGTGAGGGGAAAATTCACACCCTTTTCATGATTTCCTTATTGTTATAGTAGGCAATATGAAGTTGGAACTGCGTCAAAATCCTGAGAAATTCCTCCCTACTTTTCCCACGGTTGGCGAGATGAAGGAAGGCTATGCACGAAGTGACATTTCTCAGTACCTAATATCTGGCCACACTCCTGTTGTAAAGAGGCAGGCACTGCATGGAAAAAGTTTGGCAAAAGAAAAGTGCTCCAGTGAGAAAAGATGCACAAATTCAAAAAATCAGACAATTTCCAACTCATCTATTCAGAGGAAGGAAAACTTATCAACCGTGATGTTATGGTTCTTTCACGGCTTTCAAAGCTATCTGTTGAAGCAACCTACAGCATATATGTAGCAGAAAACCTCCAGATCAAGTTCATCTTTTCCTTTAATCAACTGAGCCCAACAGGCCTACGAAAAGGAGATTAGATTTACGTTCTTTCTCTCGGGGTGCTTTTTTAAAGTTTAAGAAATACATTGCTTTCCCAAGTATGTCTCACTCTGCCTGGTCATGCACAATCTATCAATGTGCAGATGAAGCAGAAAATAAAGACATCCTTAAGAAACACATCTGCAATTTGATGCAAAACAGAGGTGACAGCCACAGCAAAGGGAGCTTTGGCTAAATATTTAAGTACTTCGAAAAATTATCTACAGTGCTTTCAAAAGTTGGAATTCCAGGATGAGAGGAAATCTGTGACAAGGAAAAGTGGCAAAGATGCTTATATATGCCATGGCACACTCCTTCTCTTACCACATTTCATTCAAGAAGCTGAGTTACTGAGCCTGCAAATGTAACCATTCGTTCATTTAAACAAATAGTACCAAAACAATGTTATTATAGAATAATTATCTTACCTTCTTTTTTTTTTCCAGGTCATCAACCATATGAAAATCTTTTTGAAATGTCTCTACTTTCTGCTGTAGGAAGAAATAAGCAAGAAATAAATTAAGTTATTCATTGGAGTGAATCTATGCATCCCTCTCATGTGCAAGACATTCATGTGTTAAAAAATATTGCAAAAGGATTTCTAAATTACTGGACACAGATGCAGTGTTGGTGAATTACCACAGAAGCTCTTTTGAGATGGGAAGGGAAGATAAAGTGGATGAATTTTTTTAAAAAAAGTTAATGACAATCATACACTAGCCGTTTGAAAACTGATCAAAGGGCACACCTGTGTGGATTGAGTGTGTAAGAATGCCAAGAACTTTGGGGTAAGGAAAAGCAGCATGGTTTCCAGGAATGAAATCTACACAATCTTTCACAGGATATGGAATTTCGTTCTTATAAGCCAACAGACTTCTTTGAGATTAAGGATCACATTCTCTCTCACACACATGGAAAAAAATTATCCCCGAAGAGAACTCCCTGCTTAAGATTCTGGAAGTGAGATTTAATTTAACCAGGCTTTCATTATCCATTTAATTTGGGAATTATAGACACGTAAATGTCATGAAGATGCTGCAGATACAGACTATATGTGCACCACAGTTATGCCAATGATGTTCCAATGCACACTTTCCCTGGGTATGGTTGCGTGTTGATCTGCAGGGCTAAATGGTTCATGAACTTGAACCCCACAACATTCAGAATTGAAATGCCCAACTTCAGGTCACTTGCTGAGCTGGCAGTAGCTCATCTGACTTTAAGGTAGCTACTCAGACCAAAGCAGTTGGCAAATTTATAGCCAAATCACAGTCACCTTTTTTTGGAAAGAGATCTGAGGACTGTGGTCCTAAGGCTGTGATGCTATTCCAGCTATTGCTTGTGGGGAGGAAAAGGTCTCCTGGCATAAACTAGATGTTCTTCCAAGTAAACATCAGACTGCAAACTTAAACAAAGAGTAGAGCTCAATGGGAAATAAGGTACAGGACTTTGAGGGAAGAAATTATGGTTCTCTGTATGAAAAGAAAGAAGAAAGCAGGAATAAAAGCAAATGTACAATATTCAGCCTCCAAAATAACTAAATGTATCTCTGTAATTGCATCTCCCGTATCCCAAGAATAAACTACTGTACTTTATAATCAGGCCTTTTAAAAAATATTTCATCCAATGTCCTCACACACCGTAAATGCAGGTTTGAACAGTACAAATTCTCTAGAGGGATTTGTATGGGAACAGCTCCGTTTCTACTAATACACCTGGAGACCTTCTCCTTCACATGCAGGTACATAATCGTTGTGTTCTTACGGTACACAGACATGACTGATTTTATACATGGTTTCTTGTATCAGCCATGAAGGCTGGATTGACATATTCTCTACCAAGCAAAAAGTGTGATTGGTTCAGCTTTCCCGCAGCCCTTTGGGCGAACCACCTCTTGCTAGTTGAGAAACCATGGATTAAAGATTAGAGTGGTGCCTAAAGCTAGCCTATTGTGGTGCGTTTAAAAAGCACAGGTCAGCACAGGTCTCAGCTAGACCAAGGACGAACTATAGTCAACCCATGGCTTAACAGCGTGCATGGACCCAACTAAGAGCGAACGTTCAAAGCAAGTCTCCATTCTGAGATAAATGCAAAGAAATGAACTCCGACGCGGAAATATTGTCTGCTGGCCCTTTCCAACCTACCCCGGCGTGCATTGACACGCACGCACAGGCCCGCTTGGAAGCCCCGCGCCAGAACCACCCGCAGCCCTCTACTCCGGCACTCACTCCTAGAACGCCCACCCACGTGCGTCCAGACACAAAGTGGGCATCGCTACAGCCCCGGAGGGGGCAACGGTCGTTAGCCCCTGTGCCTCTTCCCGTTTGCGCAGCAGCTCGTGGGCTTACCCGCCGCCCTCCAGCCGGCGCCTCTGCGGAGCCCCCGCGCAGCTGCCGACCGGCCGGAGGGCGAGCAACCA